TGTCTACCGAATGTTTTGTATTTTTAATGTTTTGCATTCAAAAGTATTTTGCGGGGTAGGTATCAATAAGTTGAAATTCGACGATGACGTGCAGGATTCGTTAGCTCAATTGGTTAGAGCAACAGCACAGAACGCTGTGGATGCCGGATCAAATCCTACCTGAGTCGTACGTTTTTTTTTACAATTTATAATTCTAAAGTAACTGATAATAAAATATTTCAGTTGTTACACATACAGTTATCTTTTTTATTCTTAACAGAAGTAATTAAAAAAAACATCTTAAAAACTACGTAATTATGATATAATATATCTATCTATACTTATATAAAAAGCTGAAGAGTTTGTTTGTTTGAACGCGCTTATCTCAAAAACTACTGGTTCGAATTGAAAAAATATTTTATTGTTGGTTAGAGCATTTATTTCACAAACCATCACGTTGCGACTAATAGAAGCGAAGATACAGCGTGAAAAGTGAACACGGGGGAAATTTTTCATCTCTGTTTGTTTCAGTTGCGTACGCTACGAAAACTGTTCAAGATATCTAAAAAATAAGTATGAAAGAATGATTCCTCTTTAAATGATCTAATATATATATGTCTATCTTGTAAGATTAACTTGCAAGAACGACGGGTCGCGAGCGATGGGACGCGACCGATGTCGTGGGCAGCTTACATTTATAAAGACGTAGAGGTTTGCAAAAACAAATTTGGATGCCTAAAATAACGATTCTCGCGGACGAAGTCGGCGGCACAGCTAGTTTATTATAATGAAAAACAGAATATTGAGTTATTCAAATGCAATATACGATTATATGAAAATGCCAAGAAGGAGACACAATAATCTGAAAAATACAATTGCCTTTAAACGGGGCCTTTCAGCTATACTGGGACTAGTGCCACAACATAGTCGTAGCCTTGTATAGTTTCAAAATATCATGAATATCCCATTTATAGTAATAAAATACCATCGGAAAATTAACCGTATTATAAAATAAGAAAAAAAGTAGAATCCTTATTTCAAAAATTAGAAGTAACATCTCAATCAAGTAAATCTCAAACCATAAAGTTATTTAAGCTAGTAGGTCACATTTCAAATAAACAGTTTCAAACGGTTTAAACTGTTTTAATTTTTTTAACCTACGTTCGTTATTCAAACGAATACTGTCTATAATTTACGCGAGTAGTACACAGTTAAATAAAACACTTTAACGGTTTACAGTGCGATATATTTTAGAGACACACGCGGAGACGCGTCTCCCCGTGACCACGACTGCTGCATAGCATCCGAAACGTCAGGCCGTAGTTAAAAATAATTTTCAAACAAATTTAACTAAAATATATCGCGTTTTAATTACTAAACTACAATATAATTAAACTACATTCGTTTTTCAATTTTAAATACTTTGTACGCACAAATCGATTTTTATATTATATATCCAAGAAAAGCCACAGTCAGAAGCTATCGTTTAGCCCATTCAAAAGCAGCCGGCTTGCAAAACAGAAAACAGACAGACCACAGACTAACAAAAGAAAATAAAAAATACTGCCCATTCAAGTTCAAGTTTCATTTACCAAAGGACAATCTACCATTATACTCTGAGAGCTTTGATTATGCTCTAAGAGCCGGTCGCGTCTTTGTCTTTTTAACTTTTATCTAAAAGCATATTGGAATGTGCGTTATTATTTTGCGCAACATGCTAAGCAGGTTTCATTGTAAGAAATAAGAAATACTACGCAAACAGTCTTGAAAATATTGAGATTAAAAAAGGTTACGACACGGGCGTGACTCGAACCGGCATCGTCAGCGTTCCGTGCTGTTGCTTTAACCAATTGAGTTACCGTGTCGATTTTTTTTAACATTTGCTACAACGATCGAACCATTGACATCGATCTTAAGAATAGGAAAAAAAACGTAACCTACAAAATTGTACCTGAAATAAAAGTTGTATTACTTTGAAATAAAACACTTTAACGGTTTAAAAGGCGAAATATATTAGGTAAACTTATTTGAAAATTTTATCTTCGGCCCGACGTTTCGGATGCTTTGCAGCGGCCGTGGTCGCGGGGAGACTAAAGATGGAGGATATCTCTGACGTTACAGTAAAAATTGCTACGCTAGCGCCATCTGTTCCGTCGAAGTTGGTATTTGGCGAAACTGCCGGGCCCTTACAAAATTGACTGATGGTGTCTTCGCGTTTGCCGGTATGCTGTTTATTGGGATCCAGAGTCCAGATCCGAAACGTCGGGCCGGAGTTAAAAGTAATTTTCAAATAAGTTTAACTAATATATCTCGCATTTTAAACCGTTAAAGTGTTTTACTTAAATGTATTACTCGCGTAAACTACAGACAGTATATAGTTGCATTACTACTAGTATTATTTACTTAATTTAATGATAAATTACCTAAAATACAATATTAATATATTAAATGTAAACCGTGACGTTTTTATTAGATCCCTGGGAATCGATTCTTGTACCATTTAATTCCTAATTGTAACTTAGTAATAATTTATTACATTAGTAATTAACAAAGGGCTCGTATTTGTGTTTTGTCCCTTTCACTGATATAACATACGAGCGAGATGGCTAGTGATTTAAGTGACGTGTTATAGGGATTTCGGCCGTCTCTCTCACACCTGTTATAATAGAGCGAGAGATTATATTTTATGTTTGTTATACGTCACATGTTAGTAATGACTGCTTAATTGAATGGTGTTAAGGCGAAGTCACTTATCTAAATCAAATATTTAAAGCCAAAATAGGCCGACAGTGCATCCTGTCTAGATGCTATAGGCTAGGGTATATCACCCACCATAAAGTGAATTCTATGCTTGCTTGTCCTCCTCTATCATAAAAAAATACTAGAGAAGGTATTAATAAATATTTATGTTACTAGGTAATACACACATACACATATATAGTTATTCTTTCAATAATTTTAACGGTATCATAAGAATCATTATTTTTTTATCTCTTGAAATTGTTCGTTGAATAGAGTCCTATTAAGAAAACAATACCTACTTGTCTAAGAAGCTCGTACCAAATTTTGTTTAAATTGACAAAAGTTTACGAACTTCAACCGAATTCTTAATTTAAATTTAATGTTCGGCCAAACTTCGGTTTCGGTTAAAATCTTAAATGAAACTTTGTAGTACAATAGTTACGTCCCCTTAACGCAAGTCAGTAAAATACATTGTATTTTAATATGTTTCCCTAAAATCATCAAACTTTGTAAATTCGCATTTCCTTAATAATTATTGGGGTATAGATTTGAAATATATTGATTTTGAATAACTATTCAGATTTCTAACGACAATAGCCGTTATTAAAATTAGAACTTAAAAGTTCCATTACTCATATAAAATATGCTTAAATTTTATATACAGTCAAGTAACTTCAATGACTTATGCACTATCCAACTGTAACAATTTTTTGTTGCCTCAAATTTTAAACTCTCTCATTTATGCATTGCTAGTCAAAAAGCTTAACAGAATGGAATTTCGATATTCCTCACACCCGTTTTTTATTCAGATGTTCCAGATGAAGTCTAATAAGTTTCGGATATATTAGAAATTGATGAACCCGGGGTGAATCGTACCAACGGCCAGTTGATTATAAGTCTTGCTTAATTACTAGCTTTTAGACCAGAGATGCACACGCCGGTCGAATTGGTGGCCAGCCGATAGCAAAAATAACATTAAAATTAATAAATTCTTTTAAATTTTTATATATTATTATTAATTCTTTATTGTCTTTAATTACCAATACTTCTGATTTATCCAAGTGGCATCTAGTCCTGATAAGTCTGTGCAAGCTTGCTTTAGACCGAAAAGTCCGTCATTTAAAAAAATGTTCGTTTTCTATCCGTCTACGGCCTTGAAGTTTTTTGACCTTCCTCTCAACCACTGATACTTGGCTCCCATTTCGTTTACTTCAGCTCGTTTTGAAATACCCACATGTTAATTTGTGAGCAGCAACAAGAGCATTTAAAATTAACATTTCAAATAAACAATGACCAAGAAAACCTTTAAATCGCAAAAGCGGTCTTTAAGACCCCATTAGCAATATTAACCCTCCCCAATAAATATGTCGCGGCACTTTAGACCAGGTGGGAAAAGCGCTTTACGGTTAAAATATCACCTTTTAATTTTTCAGAACGGGTTAATTGTTTTCTTATTTATAAAGTCTTGGAAGTAATTTTCTAGCTTCATTTGTTTTGGCGACTTGAAATAGTACTTAGGTTGGGTCTCACTCACTTCTATATCGTGAATTTTCTTTATTATTGTAAAATTGATGAACTTTAAGTAACTTGTTTTGTTTAGTGATTAACGATAGCAAAAGAACAAACATACAATAGCTGTATTAACTGAGAATAAATTTTATAGACGTTATAAAAAATATTATTATTTGGTGTGTATTTGATTTTAATCGAGAAATATGTTACATTTTTCTCCTCTTTTTATTGTTATTACCCCGTGGTCACGGGTTGAAATGTTATGTAAAAAATTATGTGTGTTGTGTACAAAGTGTAACTAATACATTTTGTACACAACACACTAACCAAACCAAACAAAGATTTACTGAATAATGCGTTATAAATTTAAAATCTATTTAGATTCAAAAAATTCGATGTCACGGGCGGGAAACGAACTGGCATCCACAGTGTTCCATGTTGAATCCCCCAAATGTATTTTTTAAAAGTCTAAATTGATTTTTAATAAATATAATACTTTTAAATAAAACACTTTAACGGTTTAAAATGCGTTATATTAGTTAAACTCCTTCATCATTAGTCTCCCCGTGACCACGGCTGCTGCAAAGCATCCGAAACGTCGGGCCGAAGTTAAAAATCATTTTCACATAAGTTTAACTAATATATCCCGTTTTAAATCGTTAAAGTGTTTTATTTAAATGTGTACTACTCGCGTAAACTATAGACAGTATTTATATATAATACTGCCATGTGTATTAAAAAAAAATATATTTTTTAATTCTCATCAGAATTATTTATTCAACAGAACAAATTAGAAGACATGGAGGGGATCAGCGGTGATTTGGCTAGTGTTCTGGACACGGACAAGATTTCAGAGAGTACAAATAGCGTAAGGTTGCGAGGTACTGATATATAAATTAGTATAATTCGTTTTATATGTTATCTTATTTGTATACTAATAGTGACCCATATTTGTGACATGAGAAAGATGTTTGTACGTTGTTACGTTAATGAAATGAATCTTCATTGCTACGACAACTGCTACGGCGTAGATAGCTACTTATAATCCGTATATTTTTCGTAGCCATCTACGAAAGTAACTGTCTAGCAAGTTTGTATGCTGTTGTCAATTTAAACTGTGCAAAAATAAAAAGCAGATCAAAAGATATTACAAATTAAAAATATTAAAAAAATAATTAACGGTTTTAAATGTAAAATATATTAGTTCAACTACGACTACGGTTTGACCAGTACTACAGACTTGCACAGTACCAGATACTTAGATCATATTTTGTGCTGTAAGGTGTTTGAAAGAGGTGCATGTGTAAAAGTATTAAGATAAATATGATTATAACAGACGAGAAGCGTTAACTCGATTGGTAGAGCGCAGAGGTCTGCGGTCGTGTGATCGAATCCTAACCGTGTGATTTTATTTCTCAAAATCAAATTACAACCTATGAAATATTTCAGATTTCTACAAGAAATTGATTAAAACTGATGCCCAGATAAAAAAGCTGAAGGATTCACTTAACAACTATCAAGGTAGCAACATGAAAACTTTCTACGAAAGATTCAAGAGGTCGCTAGTTAAACCGAAACAAAATTATAAAGAAAATAATTTTCACTCTAAAGAGCGTGTAAAGAATAAGAAGGTAATATTGTTCAATACTGATAACAAAATGAGATTAAAAAAGAGTCCTAAACTAGACAATAGCACTGCTGGTCTCTTTGTGAAGGAAGAGAAATTCTACGTCAAATACGGACCTATTCAAAGGCAGAATTACCCTAGATGCCATCATCCTCACGACGCGAATCACCACGAAAAGAAATTGAAACATCCCTTTTACAAAATCAGTCAGAGGTTTGACGAAATGCTAAACAAGTATATGACTACTAAACGGTCTAATGTACCTGAAGATACAAGTGTACTGAAAAGTAATAAAATGAGATTCAATAAAAAATTGGATACACGCGACATTGTAGATCTTTCGACAGAGATAGATTTAATAGATGGCTTGGAATATCTGGATATCACACAAAATGACATTACTACTACCACTAATGGAAATGAAGAAAACACAAATATATTATTTAGGTAAAAAACACAAATACATTATTTCGGTAAAAACGAACTGAAAATTACTAACAATAATTAATTAAAAGTTCAAGCTGAGATTTTGATTTGTTCTGGGTAGTTGTTAGTTACACATAGAATTTTTCGTTGTTTATTTGTAGTTTATGCAAGTATATAGTATGACTATATGAACGGCTTCAAACGAAGACTATTTAAAAGAACCTATTCGTGCTTGTAAATTATTATTTTAAGTAATGTTAACGTTTCAACCCGTTCACGGTAGATTTGTGTATTGTATATATATTCATATTTAATAAAGATTAAAAGTCAAAATGTTTAATTTTGTGTTTTGGAAAAATGATCCCTAAATATAGAACACAATTCTATATATATTTTTGTTTTCAGTCAAAGTTCAGACGATGAAAGTGTAAACAAATACTTGAAAGCCAATTCAGGACGAAAGCTTTTGCAATACGACGAAGAAGGTGTAGATAATGTGGGTTATGAAGATTTTAAAGAAGTTCTAACTGATGATCAACAGAATCATGATGAAATGGATCAAACACTTGAAAGAGTTAAACGCAATAACGTAAATGTATATTTATAGAGATAGTTTTTATACATAAAGAGCACTTTAATAAGAATTTAATAAAATATTTTTAGACGAACGTGTAGAGATTTTTATTACCCGTGACAATTTTCTTTTATAGGGGTTTCCCATGACTCAAAAACACATTGGATCTGATGTGTACAATCGTAATTGGAAAGGACCGATGCCCCTTTATCCCGATGAAATAAATGCAATGATAAAACAAGCTGCATTACACAATCTAAACATTCAAGTGCCTGTAGACACGAAAGATATCAGAGTAGAGAAGGATATATCAGAACAGGAAATCTCAGATACAGAGTACTTAGAAGACTACTTAGATAATAAGTATAAGTCACTCGTAGGCATGGCTCAAGCCTACAGTGATTATGGCGTTTTAGATATCAAGAAAGAAGACAATAGTGAATCTACTACAGGAACAGAAGATGCGAGTGAAAAGTATAAGTTTATTTCACGAAATTTGTTCAAAAAAGGGGCTTTTGGCCGAACTAAAAAAGGTAAGGAAATAGTAATCACCATATTATTCATATTTATTTTTACAAATACTAATTATTCTTATTACAAATGTTTCGATTAATAGTCATAATTTAAAAAATAATGACACGGGCGGGACGAACCCTCAGACTCATGGTAACTCAATTACGGTGTTGGGTTATACAAAATAATTAAAATAAACACCGACTATAAAAAACAAACCTCAGTGATTTTTCCAAGTAACATTTCTTGCACAGATTGGGAATCATCTGAAGGTATACAAATTAAATACAAACCAAGTCCCAGAAGCGATAGTAATTTATTTAAAATTCTACGAGAACATATACAATTTTCGAGGCCTTCCCCAACGTACGGATCATTAAAATCTGAAAAGGTATTCACCCCATCAGGTCTTGAGATACAATTGGTCACCGATATACCCCAAAGTAAAGGAAAAGAAAACGACATATACAAATTCAAGGTGCCACAGCGAAGTTTACAGTCCATAAATACAAAGGTTTTAATAGATCAATCTACCACAACTAATAAAGTTAAAGAAGATACTATCAAATTGACAACACTAAAATCTATGGATATACTAAATATGACTGGTGCAGATCAAGAGACAAATAGATCAATGGCTTTAGGAGACTTTTTGAATATGATGAGAGATTGGTTCTTCCATATGGCTGTAGTATCTGGTGATTTAGAAGACAAAGGCAGAATTCTGGAAAAAAACATAGATAAGCATGAAATGTATATATTTTACAATTTAGATTTATACCGTACAATTTCAATTGTCTCGATAAATTGGTAAACATTTGAAACACTCTTTACAGATCTGAAAGTCCCAAGAAGAACTTAACTACTAATCAAAGTAGGGAATATATTTTTGATTCAGAAAAAAATGGTATTCATGAATATAAGTCAAGAAAATTATTATCCTTAGAAGAAAATAAAACAGTTACTGAAATAAAGCAAGAAGCCGATTCAAAGACTCTTAAACACGGTGAGTCATTATTTCTAGACACTATTAGATACGATTCGGTTTAACTGAATATGACTGTGTCGTTATTATTGTTTAAGTTGATGTAAATGCAACATTATTACCCACGTTTAATAATACAATTGCGACAACCAACCCTGACGTTCGAGATAAAAATAAAACTCTATTTAAAAGAAGCGTCGAGAACAATAACTTCATATTTTGGAATGATATGTATGACGAGGATGAGTATGGAGCTAAAATTGATTATTTTGATGATGTGATAAGAAATAAGCACACACCAAAGTATTATAATAAAGTAGCGCTATTGAAGTCCAAGGATTGGGTTCAGAGTAAAATGAAGGGTATGTCAAATAAGATAAGGGACGACCTTCAAAGGAGGATAAGCAATTTAAACACTAGGATGTCAAGGTAATTTGACGGCGTCTCTGTAAAGAAATGGTTAATAAACTATGTAGTAAATTTTTTCCGCGTTTGCAGCAAACTGTCACAAATGCCAGCACAGAATCCAAATCGTCGACCACTAAGAAGTGTCGATACAGATGTAAGATTATTGAATAACTGTTATTAGTAACTACGTACATTTAAATAAAACAGTAACGGTTTAAAACGCGATATGTACTAGTTAAACTTATTTGGAAATTATTTTAACTACCGTCCGACGTTTCGGATGCTAGAGTTTAACCAATATATAATAATAAATATATAAATAAATGCGTACTACTCGCCTAAACTTCAGACAGTATTTTATTCCATACATTTTAAATTAAGCAATACTTAATAAATTGATTTTAGAATAATGAATTAAGTTTTAATAAAATTAAGGTAAACTTAATGTAGGTTGGTATTGATTAAACGTAAATAAGCAATAATTTTGTCATTTGATAGTAGCCTATACAGTATTTTCGAATGTTAATTTCTATTGTTTTAAATTAGCTCGGAAAATAAATAAACAATATTAAACCGATACTTACTAACTTTTCCATTCTTTTAGTCGGAAGACGTCGACGTAGCAAAGAGTTTTGCAGTTTTAAATGCTAACCTAAAGCATGTGTGTCGGCAAGCTGCAGAGGCTGTCCGAAATACTAGGAAAATTGAGGGTAGTTTCTTTAAAGTATATTATGCTAAGTAATATGTAATATTTTATATGAGAGTTTGTTCTTATTATTTAATTGATATGGGTAAATATTCTAGTTAGTCAGGTCTTTAACTTATGAGCCGATAAAAAAAAATTAAAACGAGTAGTTAACAAATTTAATTTAAACACATTAACGGTTTAAAATTCGAAATATATTAGTTAAACTTATTTTATAATGATTACTCCCGACGTTTCGGATGCTTCGCAGCGGCGGTGTCAAAAATAAACTAAATAACACTTAAATAAATTTGACTCAGATATTTCGCGTTTTAAAGTGTTATATTTAAATGTGTACTGCTCGCATATTTATTTCCATACTCTAAAAATATTAATCTACAAGAGCACAGTGACTGAAAATTGTTAACATATTACATGATTTAAAAAATAATAATAGTACAGATTCATTTTCGCCTAAGTTAATTGCGTATTTTTATTTTCCTCTTTATAGAAAGTGTTTTTTGTTATTAAGCCACTCTAGCAGCTTCAATTATACACTATCATTATAACATATTACAAATTAATATTACTTTATTTGTGATTTAGCTCGTGAAGAAAATAATGAAGCATCTCAAGCGACTGGTCTCATGCAGCAGCTAGTTCATCTGATGGCTGATCTAGTTGACATCCAAGTGCAGCAAAAGACGTGTGCTAGTTAGACAATTATAATTTTCAAAGATAATCCGTTGAGTGTAAATATTCAAAATTAGACGAGCTTTTTGTTTTCAAGGTAAAAAGGAATTGCTTATAATCAACGGCCTGTGAATTCGATCCCTATCGACCAACATCTAATAATATAATAATATATATGTAGTTGAATAATGAAGAATCTAATAAATTTTTAATTTTTCTGAATCATGTTGGATCTCATCTACAAAATGTGAATGTTAAATTAGACTTTTTTTCTTAAATTTTTTTTTTTAAGTAGAAACACCGTCCACAGATGAAAATACAATAATCGAGTGTGGATTACGAATTGCCCAGATCTCATCGAAATCGCATATTCTAACACATTTGGCTGGTGTATCCCTTGCATCAAAACGCTTGTCCTTCATCATCGTCATTATAAAATTTATTATAATTAAATCACGTTTATTATAGAACTACCCGCAGACCTAAGAGACTTCCTAGAGTGGCTCGTAGTACCACCAGAATACCATCCTAACGTGGACAGTCTGTCGTCAATGTCGGAATATAGTCATCTTTTTTCTGATGATAGTAGATATGGTAAGGGTGTTAAGTAATTTTAAATTAGATTAAAACTAGTGTTTGTTAGTAGATGAATACAAAGATGACGTCATCAAGGGGATAAGTCATAATAATAATAACAATAATATATTTTTCAGACCATAAATCCATTTCTTAAAATTAATTAATTCTAATGTGTGTTAGTTGGGTTAGTAACAATTTTTAACTTAAAATGTATATTAGAATGTGTTAGTCACTAAAATTATGTAATGGTGGCGAGTGCTGAGCCCGTGTGCAGCTCATTTCGAGTTAGGGTTTCTTGTGATAATAAACAGATTATTTATTTATTTATTTGGTTGTGTCAAATTGTGAAATTTTACAGAGAAATCTTCGGACATATATGATCTGCCTTTGACAGAAGACACTCATCAAGAGGATAGGACAGAGTGTTTGGGAACCATAAGGGCTGTACAAGATTTAATACAACAATACGAGGGGATGAGTGATGAAGATAAGGTACTTTGATTGCTGATGGTCTTCCAATCTTATAAATGCAGTAAGGTATTCTTTTAATGAAAGAGGAGGACAGACAAGCATGGAGTCACTTAATGGTAGGTGAAATACCCCAGCCTGCAGCATCTAGTGAACATGCGCTGTCGGCCTATTTTGCCTTTGGATATCCGGAAATCCATAGACAGAAACCGAAACGTGAGTAACTACACGGATTTTTCTCGGCTCGGAATTTCGATATTCCTACATTCCATTTAATATCCAAATTTCCAGACGTAGGCTTACATGTTTCAGAAAAATATTAAAAAATTAAACATTTTACTAAAGTTTAGCTGTTTACTTATCTAGTTATTATTATGTTTATTTCTAATTAATAAATTAACTTGTAATAAATAATTAATATATATAAGTAGAATATTAGTCCTTAAAATAATTGGGTGTAATTAGTGCACACGATCTGCAATGTTCAGCAGTATATTATAGAATACGCTGCGCGCCCAACTCGTACGGGTCTACAGGTTTATAATAAACAAATTTGCAAATAAAATAAACAATTTCTAATCTAATTTAAACATAGTAAATTAGTGTTTAAATTTAGATGTATTATCTGTAGAACTAACTTGAACACATTTAAATTTTAGAGCAAGATGGCTGGTGTAAAGGAATACCTTGAAAACCAACTGGAGTTTCTTAATGGCAAGCTGAATAGTTTGAACGAATATGACGTAAGTAATAGTTCCCACGGGTGGGACATGATTTAATATTGGGAAGATTTTATATGCCTTATTCTACTACGCTAACCAAATGAAATATACTTTATTCATGTAGGTTACTTTTAAGAATATATGACATATATCTATGTATACAGTTAACTTTAGTTACTGCCAGTTCTCAAATGTATCAAATGTCATCAAATTTTTGCTCTCATGACGTCCCGATTTCCGCACGTTTCGCATTTTTGTTGGAAAATACGTGGATGCAATCAAACATAGACAAATGACAAATTTTCAATAACGAAAAACAATAAAGTGCGCAATTGACATAAGCGAAAATGAATTTGTACTATTATTTGTGTAAGAATTATATTAACAATTTTCGGTCACTGTGCTCTTGTAGATTAAGATTTTAGACCGTAAAAATACATAACACAGGTCTTAATAATAAATAACAATAATAGTCTACTCTGCATTTAGCGGCTTCCAATGTACGCTCTGGAAAATATAAATGGATACAAGGAGCAAACCCCCGACCTAACCTTGAACTTAAGTCGGATGTTATGGCGCACAATCACGATTTGCTTGTTTCTTTTACAGACACTAAAATTCAGAAAGAGGGAAGCAAGAAATAAACGGAGCCTGAAACATCCTAGATTCAAACGACTGTTCAACAGATACATCAATAATTTCGCCCGAAAACACACTAAGACGACAGTACCAACTAAAATAACAAAAGCAAGAATATTAGACAAAGAGAAAAGCAATAATGATGATAAGAAGATAGTGAAAGAATTTGGAAACAGTTTAAGTGATAAAGAAATCGAAGTGAGTGAGAGTGCTAATCGCTTGAAAGAGCCAGAGAGGAAATCTAGAAACTTGAAGGATGTATATTTCAAAGCTTTAGACGAAGCTAGAAAAACAACAGTGAAGAAGAACTGACTTTAAAATGCTATTTCTTATTAGAAATAATTAGTTTAATTTTTTATATTAACTATTGTCACAAATACAGTCAGGCTAATAAACTATTGATTATTAAAAAAATACTACGTATATTTTCTTTATTGATTTTATTTCTACTGTCTGTAGTTTACGCGAGTAGTACACATTTGAATAAAACACTGTAACGGTTTAAAACGCGATAAATATTAGTTAAACTTATCTGAAAATTATTTCAACTACGGCCCGTCGTTTCGGATACTTTGCAAAGCAGTATCCCTGTGACGACATCAGTATATCGCAATTTGAACCGTTTTATCTAAATTGATTGTATTTATATTTAACACCATAAATAACTATATAGGTAATTAAATTATTAGTTAAGTTAGATAATAATTATAAGTTATGCAATAACGGTGTAGAGTAAAAGGCAGACACATTTTTCTGTCCGTTTCACTGATCCAGTAAGGTAAAGTTTGAGTACATTTTTGTGCACTGCCTGACCGAAACTAATTTTCCACTTCTTTAAGAAAACAATCACTTTTTAATCCAACATAGAAGTATTATACGTGTTTTGTAATAAACACAAACGTTTATAGTTAAATTTAATAATTTGTACCTTCAATAAATATCGAAATATCAAAATAATCCCACAAAATATAATGCTTAAAGCCACCCCTCAGTAGTGATGTACAATACTCTATCGATGCCGTGGTAATTAGCGTACATTATCGATATTATGACGTCGAGACTGCACTCAACAGACTATTAGGATAGAGTTGGGTTGATATCGATAACGGTACGGTTTTCGTATTTAATTGTAAAGCAGATGCATAGAATAACTACTCCAACTTTAATTATATATTACCTATACTAATATATAAAGCTGCAGAGTTCGTTTGTTTGAATGCGCTTATCCCAGAAACTACTGGTTCGAATTAAAAAAATATTTTTGTATTGGTTAATGCAGTTATCTAGGAAGGCGATAAAAAAACAGCGAGAATATTGAATAAACGGGGATATTTATTTATCCGTATTGGTTTCCATTGTGAACACTGCGAAAATGGTTAAAGATACCAAAAATATATGTAGGAAAGAATAAAAAGTCCGCGACAATCTATTAAGAAACTTGCAAAAACGACGGGACGTCGTGGGTAACAGTTTAAATTTATAGAGTTGCACAGGAGGATTGAAAAAAAAGACTACGAAGTCTCTGACTCAGTTAGTGTGTTATTTGGAATTTAGCTATTTTTTACGTTGTATTCTAGTCATTATTATTATTAGACTTTTTCTTTAATTTTGTAAACATCTCCAGTTTTTCTCTTACTCGATGCTACTATGTAAAACTATATTATTTTACAATACAACAAGATACTAAGTTATAATCATTTAACGAATTCATTATGTCACTATCATTGTTCTAAAAAAATTAAGCGTTTAATAATATCGACGTTACTGTACACAGGTACAACACTAATTCCTCGCAATGCTATAATTTTCGTAGAAAATACAGCACTTACCGCACCGGTTACTTTCGATACAACTTGCTTCTAGACTTACGAAATACAGGATGTTTGTAATGAACAACTAGGCTTTTTTTTGTATAGAAATATATTCATTCTATGCTCATACTTAATTCGATTTCTACTGAATAATTGATGCTGACTGGAATAAATTATGGATTATGGCATATGTTATCGATTTTTTTCTTGATTCTAAAACAAATAAAATTATCAAAATATTTTAATTTTACTGCACCATCGAGGATCGAACCCTTGAACCTCAAACCACACTTGAGTCGTGTATTAAAATCTATGCTTTTAAACGTGCCAAATGATATCATAAATTAAATAAAAAATAAATGCTATACAAGGGGACACGCTGTATAGTAATGAGTAAGCACGTACAGATGCTATGTATATTTAAATTTTGATACTCTGAGTGGAGTGAATGTATAAATGTTTATGTATATTTTACCTATAAGTTTTCTTAGATATGTCCTTCATAAATAAGCATTTGATATTTTAAGTTTTCCTTATAGAACTACGTTTACCTATAATGTCTTGAAAATATTACCTTGTTAATGACTACGCAATGAATAAGTAAGTATATTTCCCAAACATGCTTAGAAATTTGAGCATAGCATTATTTTGACTACCTCCTTCGAGATCAATCGAACTTGCCGTACTGGTCGAGCAGCGGCCTGCAATAGTTGTGTGAAAACCCATATCTGTCTAAATAACACTTTAACGGTTTAAAACGTGATTTATTAGTTAAATTTATTTGAAAATGATTTTTAACTTCGGCTCGACGTTTCTTACTGAGACTGTCTCCCTGTGACCGCGGCTGCGGGTATATCGCGTTTTGAATAAACCGTTAACAGATTAATTTGGAAATGTGAACTACTTGCGTAACTATAGACGGAATTCATATCTTGATGGCGGCAAAGAGTGAAATACTTCCAGCCATATTACATCTCGAACGAGCATACACTATGAGACCATTTGTTCCATGGTATAATTCGTTTTCCAATGTAGGTTCCTTATAACATACTAGCTGATCCGGCAAACGTTGTTTTGCCATATAAAAAATTTCATCTATTGAATTGTAGCTTATATGAGACGTTTGTCGGTTTACCATAGCAGTGCCATCTATTGATTACCTTTCTCAATCCATGTGTAACTGACAATTGTTATAGACAGGGTGGATAAATTTGCAGATAAATAGGTTCCAAGCGAGCCCATGGCGGAAAAACGACCTGACCGGAGATTTTTTTCCCCCCTTTTTTTTTCTCCCCTCCTTTGTTTTTTTGGCCCTCCCCGGCCGCCCCCCTTTCCCGCGGTTTTTTTCCCCCCCCCTTTTTTTATATAAAGATCAAACACCAGGCGCGAGGGGGGGCCGGCCGGCGGCGGGGGGGGCCTTTTTTTTTTTTTTTTTTTTTTTTTTTTTTTTTTTCTTCCCCCTCCTTTTTTTTTCCGGTTTTTTTTTTTTTTATATATTTTAGTGAGAAATTTTAAAGGGAATCTAATTAATAAAAAAGGCGGTATACTTAGCTTTATTTTCTATTTATTTTTTTATAAATTTTTAGTTTTTGATAAACTTACATTATTTTTTGATGAACATAACAATAAACACTTGATGAAAGGTGACCATTACATCTCAACACTATCGACCAATTCTGTCCATGGATATTCGGAAATTCACAAACTGAAACCAAAACGTGATCAAACTTCACGGCTTTTTCAAATATGGACGATGGTTCGTAACCCGGATGAAATTTCGATATTCCAACGACTAATTAAATATCCGGATTTCCAGATGAAGTCCAACGTGTTTCAGAAAAATTATGAAACATGTTGGGCCCGTTGATTATATGCAATTCGTCGAACGAGTCTAATAAATAAATAAAAAATAGGAATTATACCGACATTGTTAACAATAAGCATATAGATATGAGTCCTAACGATAGGCAAGTACATAAAACAACGTAATTCCCTTACTGAATCTTTGTTTTTATTTTTAGACACAGCGCAATTAAAACAGTAAACACTCAACATACCAGGGGAATTAAAAACAAAGCTATCCAATTTCTTAACAATTTTCAAACCTATAACATTTCCACTCACGTCCAGACGAGCTAGTTAATAATCCAGGCTCTGCCTGCACTTTACGACCGAATTAAATATTAACTCTTAATATAATAGTGCATTTTATTGCAACCGGCCAGTGTAAGCGCAAATTGTTTTCCTTCGCTATGTTTTTGATGTGTTCTGGGAGTCAGATATTAATATCCGAAATCTTAATAAAACTTCCGAAAGTTTAGCCGAAATTAAATTTAATTCGTATAATACATTTCGTGTTTTAAACCGTTAAAAGTGTTTTAGTAAACTACACGCAATCTCTACTAATTATCAATATTTGTAATTGTTATATATTAATAATTTATAACAATTATAATATTGCAAAATATATTAATTAAATTATTAATGATTTTTAACGTCGGGCCGAAGTTAAAAATCATTTTCAAATAAGTTTAACTAATATATCGCGTTTTAAACCGTTAAAGTGTTTTTTTTTTTTAATGTGTACTACTCGCTAAACTATAGTATTTAAATATATTAATTTGTTTAAATGAGCTAATCTCAGGAATTACTGATTCGAATTGTAAAATGATTTTGTGTTGCATGTTAGAGCACTTATCGAAGAAGACTAATGCCTATAAAACATCAGGCTGCGAACAATATGAGCGATCACAGAGGGAAATGTGGAAAAAACGCGCAAAATTATTCATCTTTGTCTAAATAATGTATATGAAAGAATGATTCCTTCTTTAAATGACCCAAAATAATGTTAACGACCATGTCTATCTTTTTACAATAACTCGCAAGAACCATGGGACGCGGATGATGTTATGGTTAACGCCTATGTATACTAATATATAAAGCTGAAGAGTTTGTTTATTTGTTTGAACGCGCTAATCTCAGGAACTACTAGTTCGAAGTGAAAAATTATTAGATTGAAAACAGCTTAATATTTTTCACATGTTGTGCCATGAAGGCACTATATAATTTTACACATAAAGCACGGAAAGTGACGATGCCGATTCAAGTCCCCTGCCCGAGTCGAAAAATTTTTCAATTTATTTTCGATTTTAAATTATTAGATTGACAAACTAAGGAGGTTGGTTGCAAAAATAAATAATACTGTGCCAAAAACAACTACCTATTCCACGCGGTTCGTCCGCGCCCGCGTCTCAGACAAAGCTAGTTTTAACTACACCGAAATCTAAATAAAACCTTATTTTCAGTCTGGTTGTGGTTAAAATAATAAATTAAATTATACATTTCATATTGTAACCCGTTAACAGTTGAACGCGCTAATCTCAGGATTTGCTGGGTTCCACTTAGATTCATAGACTACAATTTCCATTACCTATTAACTGAATTTATCTAGTGGTTGGGAGAATTAGAGGATCTGGAAATTGCGAAATGATATTCCAGTAA